TGTGTGTGTGTGTGTGTGGGAAACTTAGACGGCTGTGGGCTTATGCCAGGCGGTGGTCCTGGCACGCCGGCAGCTCCAGTTGTCAATACCCCACTGTGTCTCTCTGTATTATTGTCACTATTGTTGTTATTATTATGGCCATTAGGGCTATTGTTGGTGCGTCTGTTGATGACTGTTTTTTTATTATTATTGTCGTTTCTTCTGTGCGTGTGTCTTTTGACTGCTGTTGCCGTCCTCGTGGCAGCAAGCACTTAGATTGGAGGATGCGGTGTGCGCTGCGGCGTTGCCCTGTGCAACAGCAGCGGCGCCTCACCGCCACCACCGTTGCTAGTACTGCCGCCGCTGCTGTTGCTGTTGCCATGACGTTTAGCGTGCGCCGCCAGAGCAACTCTCTTGTTGGCACGATCCACGGCGGCGAGTTGTCGCTGCCGAGTGATCCGCAGGGCGGCTCGCACCTCTCCGCGCGCAACATCGCGACGGAGGCGCTGCAGATGAAGAAGCTCCACCAGGAGCGCGGCGGCAACCCGATGCTCGCGCAGCAGGCGCGCCGCGTTCTCTTCGCGACGTCCATCGCGGGGCAGAACCTCGACGCCCGCTCCGTCGCGCTGCTGCTGAACACCGCCGTCTACTTCGGCATGGAGAGCGACGCGAAGCTGGTGCGCGAGTGCATCGACTACTGCCTCAAGAACGACAAGCTCATCACCGTCGACGTGCTGCCCATCGTGGTGACGGCGTGCGCGACGCTCAAGTCCCGCGACGCGCGCGAGGTGATTGAGCTGCAGGCGCAGAAGGCCGCGCGCAACGCCAAGTACCTCGACGCGAAGGCGGTGACGAACACCATCAGCGCCTTCTCCAAGACCGGCATCCAGCACGAGAAGCTGTACGGCTACCTGTCGAAGCGCGTGCAGACGCTCGCGCGCGTCGGCGAGTTCGAGGCGGCGCACCTCGTGATCCTCGCCAACGCCTTTGCGCGGCTGCGGTACCGCGACAAGTTCGTCTTCGGCGCCATCGCCCGCCGCGCCACATCGCTGCGTGAGCGCGTGACGGTGCACGAGCTGGTGCCCCTCATCGTCGCCTTCTCGAAGATCGGGCTGAAGGACCCGAAGCTGAGCAAGCGCTTCGCCAGCAAGGCGATGGAGTACGTGGACCAGATGAACGCGGAGCAGGTGGCGAGCATGTTCATGGCCTTCGCGTACTTCGGCATCCGCTACGACCAGCTCTTCGGCGTGCTGACGAACCGCGCGGTGGAGCTCATCGATGAGTTCAACGCGCAGTACATCAGCACCACGCTCAACGCGTTCCAGCGCATCGGCATCAACAACCCCGAGCTCTTCGACAACCTCGCGGAGCGCGCGCTCGCGGTGGTGCAGGACCACGACGCGCGCGACATCTCCAAGACGGTCACCGCCCTCGCGCACTTCGGGCTCAAGGACGAGGAGCTCTTCAAGCGCCTCGCCTCGCACGCCGCGAGCATCGCCGACCAGTTCGACGCCGTTGGTCTCGTCAACACCGCACACGCCTTCGCGCGCACAAACTTCCTGCAGCAGGACATGGCCGTCGCGCTGTCGGAGCGCAGCGTGTACGTCTGCCGCCAGATCGATGCCGGCGAGGCGCGGCGGCTGCTGTGGTCGCTCGCCAAGTTCCAGGTGCGCGATCCGAAGATCCTGACGCCCGTCTTCAACCGCTGCCTCGCACTGCACCAGGACTTCTTCTCCGACCCCACCGGCAGCGAGGAGATTGAGGAGATATTCGACATCTACGGCCCCAACGTGTGCCCGCAGCTCTACCAGCTGTACGTCTCCCGTGGGTCCACGCCGCAGATGTAAGCCATAACAACAACAGCCGCAACAACAACAACAACGACAACAGCAGAGGCCTGCGAGAAGGAACCAAAACAAAACAAACAAACCAAAAAAAACTGCAATGACAGTAGTGATGATTGCTGGAGGGGGCTTTGCTTGCCTTAAGTTGCTGTTGCTGGGATTGTCGTGCTCACAGATGCCCTGATGATGGCGATGGCGACGACAGCGCTTCCTCGTGTAGGAGAGGAGGCCCTGAATCGCCATGAGTTACTTTATAAGCAGGCAAAAAGAGAGAGAGAGAGGAAGAGAAAGGAAGGACGAAAGATGCGTGTTGTTCTCCTTCCGTGGTTTTCTTTTCGGTATTAGTGCAGCGGAAGAGGACGGGGTAGAGGTGCGGGGCCTGACGCCGGGGTGCGCCCACACATCTTCACCCGCCGAGGGGGCGAGAGGCCGGGAGGGTATGCGCGCACGCCCACCAGTACTGCTGCTGCCGCCCCTGCCGCTCCTAGTCTTCCCGATGCTGCTGCTGCTGCTGCTGTAGCACATGCCATTGGTGCTACTAGTGTTGCTATCGTTATTATCATTATTTCTCTTCCTGCTGCACTTATTCGCCCCCCCCCCTCTCCACTCAGAACTAGTTGTGTGCCGCGCGGATGCTGAACAACAAAAAGACCGGCGCCGAGGAGGAGGCGGGCATGTCGATGCGCCAACGCCTGCGGCAGCGACGCGAGCTCGAGGAGAAGCGCAAGTTCGGCCTCGCCCCGCTCGCCGTGGACGCGCTGACGGGAAGCGAGATCAGCCCCAACGTGCCGCAGCTCATCTCGCAGGCGCCGTGGTACTACGGTGCCACCGGCCCCACGCTTGACCATCAGCGGCAGAAACACACCGATGCGATGGACACGCTGCAAGACCAGCACGACACCGTCGTCGTGCTCGGCAAGGCGACGACGTACGCGGCGGGGGCGTGCGGCAACTGCGGCGCTACGACGCACAAGACGAATGAGTGCTACAAGCCGCGCAGAAAGGTGGGCGCGATGTACGGCGGCAAAGTCACGGGCGTGGACGTGCACGTGGAGCGGGCCGAGAAGAGTTACGCACAGAAGCGTGACCGCTACGCGACTGGCGCCGGCGTCGATCTGCTGCAGCAGGCCTCACAAGAGGCGGAGGAGGAGACAGGAGCTGATGGGGTTGGCGACAACAACAGCAGCGGGGCGAAGCGGCCGCGGCTGCAAGATGTATTCACGGCACAGACCGCCGTGACGAGCGGCAGCGGCGGCGGCGGCGGCGCCGGCGTAGAGATAAAGGAGCTGCCGAAGCACCTGCAGAACCTCGACAACGACGGCGTGCTGTTCGACCCCAAGACAGGATCGATGCGTGGCAACCCCAATGAGGCGGACCTTACACGCACGTTTCAAGGTGATCTGCAGCGCTACCGCTCAGGGGACTACTACACGTACCTCGAGATGCAGCTGCGCTTCCTGAAGGGCGAGTCCGCCTCCATCGTCGACTTCAGGCTGGACGAGCAGCTGCAGAAGCAAAGGAAGCAGCAGCAGCGGCAGGTGGACAAGGGTGGAAGCAGCGGTGACGGCGGTGATCCCGAGGCGACGGTGCGGGAGCGGTTGGTCCGCTCACTCTACGGCGAGTCGACGCTCGCCTCGGCGGAGAGTTCGCTGCGCATGAAGGAGGCACTCGCCGCTGCTGCTTCCGCTGCGCCGCC